TTTCCCCCCGCAGCGTGAGGGCACCGCGGGTGCGGCGGGACACGGGGCGGGGACGTGGGGATGTTTTGGGGACATGGGGACACGGGGATATGGGGACTTGGGGGGGGAGGGGGAAGGTTGGGGACCTGTGGGCACGAGGGCATAAGGGATGTGGGGATGGAAGGATGCGGGGATGTGGGAACACGAACACGTGGGAACACGGGAACTTGGGGAGACGGGAATTTGGGCACGAGGATGTGGGGAGATGTGAGCACGGGGATGTGGGGACGCGGGGCTGCGGTGGGGTCACGAGGCACGGGGATGGGGAACGCGGGGCTCACCGTGCCCGCTGCAGCCCTCCGCCACCCCCAGCACAGCCACGGAGCGCCGGGCTCCCCGCCAACCCCCGGGGTCCGGGACGCTCCGTATCGGCACAGCCCGCACCGGAGCTGGAGCGGTTCCCCACCTCGCCATGTGCCACAACGGCGGCCCCGCAGCTCCAAACGCGCTCCGGGACGAGCCTCATTCCGGGGAAACCGAGGCACGAGGAGCGGGTGGGGGAGCCGAGGAGGAGGAAAAGCTCCGGTGGGGGGGAGGGGAATGGGGGGCGGCTGCGGCACGGAGCAGCAGGAAGCGGGGGGGAAGGAAGCTCACCCCGAGTGCCGAGAAGGATCCCGCCCCGTGGGGGGAGGGGGAAGAAGGGGGTTGGGGTATTCCGTGCAAGCGTGAGGATTTGTTGACCCCCCCGGTCAGCCACTGGGAGGGCCGGAGCTCCCACCGGGATCGGTGCTCCCCCTCTCCCCCCCGTGACCCCAAATCCCCTTCCTTAGGACCGCCCCCATCGCTCCCCCCAACCCCCAATGATGTCCCAGGGGCTCCCCACACCCCCCCAGCCCCCCCCTCCCGCCATCCCCGGGGATCCCCACCTCCCACTCCCCTCCCCCAACATCACCCCCCATTTCCCTTCCCCTCCCCCCACCCAAGATGGCAGCCGCTCGCTCCGCTTCCTGCCCGCGCCGCCCCCGCCCTCCCGCCGCCCCGCTCCCGGTTCGCTCCCCCCTCTCCCCCCCAAAATCGATGCACACAGCGCACAGGCGGCTCCTGAGCGGCGTTTTTACTGCGGGTCCTCAATGGAATGTGGCGGGGCAGAGGCCACGCGGAGCCCTGCAAACCGCAGCCGCTCGGCGCGGGGGGGCCGCGCTCGGGGGCCCCTCAAAGTCCGTCGTGGGGCAGAGAACGGGGTCACCCCAAAAACCCCTCAGTCTTTCTGCCCCCCGCCCCCCCCAGGTCCGAGATGGGGGCAGAAGTCCCCCAGCCCACAGGGGGGCGCCCTCAGGAGCCCCTCAGTCCGCCAGTCCCCCGGCCCACACGGGGGCGCTGTGCGCAGCCGCTCCCCCCACAATCCGCGCTTCTCCCCCGGTTCCCCTCGGTCCGCCGCCAGACCCGGCGATGGGGGGAGGAAGGGGGGGCGGTTGGGTCCTTCGGTCCTTCGGCCGCCGCGCGGTTCCGGGCGGTTCCGTCGGCCCTCAGTACGCCGGCACCTGGTGCTGGTGCTGCGGGAGGAGCTGGCAGCCGCTGTTGACGTGGCTGAGCACCTTCTGCTTGAGCTGGGCCACCTGCTCGCGGAGCAGGCTGGCGGTGGAGGCCAGCTCCGTGTTCTGGCTCTTGAGGCTCTTCACCTTCTCCTCCAGGCGGGAGATGCGCTCCAGTTTCCTCTTGCGGCACTTGGAGGCGGCGATGCGGTTCCTCAGCCGTTTCCGCTCCGCTTTGATGCGCTCCTGCGTGTCCATATCGATGGGGGACAGCGGGGGGCTCTCTCCGAAGCTCGGCACCTCGGGCACGATCTGCGGCTCGTCCTTCAGCGGCGGCGGGGGGGGAGGCGGCAGCCGGGGCGGCGGGGCGGCGAACGGGCCGGGCTCGGCGGCGTAGCTGACGGCGGGGTACGTACTGAGGTTGGCGTACACGGGCGGCTCCGGGGCCAGGCCGGCCGCGGGCAGCTCTCCCCCGCCGCCGCCGCCGCCGCCTCCTCCGCCCGCCGCCGCCGCTCCCCCGTTGGGGCCGCCGCCGCCGCCCAACTGGTTCTGCTTGTGCAAGTCCTCCAGCGCCTTGACGAAGCCCTCGGCGAACTCCTGCTCCTCCGAGGCGGCCGCTTTGGGGTAGAGGAACTGCCCGCTGGTCGGCGTGGTGGTCACCAGCCCGTTGGACTGGATGATGAGGCGCTCCAGCTCGGGCGACGCCAGCTTCAGCAGCCCCAGCTCGGCGGAACCCAGCAGCCCCGCCGCCGCCGCCGCCTCTCCGCCCGCCGCGCCCGCGGCCGCCGCCGCCGCTGCTCCCGGGGCCTTCAGCGCCGCCGCCACCTGCTCGGGCAGCGCCAGGCCGAGCGCGTCCTTCTTCATCATGCTGCCGCCGGGGAAGGGCAGGAGGAGCCCGCTGCTGCCGGAGGTCGGGGCGAAGCCGCTGCCGAGGCCGCTCAACACATCATCATGGTAGAAGGGTGTTTCCATCCTCCTCCCCCGCCCGGCTGCGGGGGAACGGGGCGGGGGGGAGCGCCGTGGAGGAGGGGGCGCGGGGCCGAGCGCGGCGCTGCCAGGGGGGAGGGGAGGGCGGGGGAGGCGGCGGTGCCACCGGCCGCGGCCCCGCTCCTCCGCGCGCACACACGCGTCTGCCGCCGCCGCGGCCCCCGCGCCGGTTTAAATACGCGGCGCGGCGGCGGTGACCTCACCACGCGGCGCTGCCATTGGCTGCACATGACGTCCTCGCGCGCCCCGATTTGCATAAGGGGCGTGGCTCCGCCTCCCGGGGCGGGGGAAACGCGGTGGCGGGGGGCCGCGCCCCCTCCTGGCTCCGCCGTCGCCACGGCGACCGCCCGGGAACGGCGCACAACAGCGCGAGGGCCGCCGGGCTGACGTCATGGCGGGGGAGGGGCCGCACGTGGGCCCCGCCGGGACTCACGGGCACAAAGGGAGGGAGGGGCGGGGGCAGCTGCCCGGGTCCTTCCCCGTCCGTTTGGCGGCGGGTCGCGTCGCGCCGTTGAGCCCCCGCCGCGTTTCGCGCCCCGGTTCCCCTCCCCCCCCCGGTACCGTCCGCTCCGAGGCGGCACGGCGGGGGCGCGGCGGCAGCGGCGGCCCCGCGCGTCACGGCTGAGCCCGCGGGCGGCTGAGGGGGCGGTGCGGCGTCAGCGCTGACGTCACCGCCCGCGTGCGGCGGAGGGCGCAACCCCCCCACGGGTGGCCGCGGGGAAACGAACCGACCGCCCCCCCCCGCACCTCCCCCATCGCCCATCCCGGTGCTGCGGCCCGGGGCGGGCGGGGAGCGATGCCCCGGGGCCGGGCCGTGCCTTCCCGCCCAACCCCATCATTACGGGCGCGGCCCGCACGGCCGGTTCGGGCCTTCCGGCCTCGGGGGGCCGCGGATGGGGGCGGGCGGTGCGCTGTGGGCCGGGAGCCGCCGCCCCGATCGCCCCGCGTGTCCCCATCCCGGGCGCTGCGGCGGAGCCACGAGGCTCACGAGGTTCAGCCGCGGCCCCAATTCCAGGCGCTCCCCGCTCCCAACCGGCGCCGCACGAAGCCCGGGGCTGCGTGGCTCCGGCCCTTTTGCCCCGATATCCCTCGGCTCTGTTAAGCTTTGTACGGCGCAGCGAGGCTCCGAGCGCCACCGCAAACACCGCCCTCGCAGCTCAGCGCTGCCCCGTTTCCCCAGAACGTTCCCTGTCTCTGTTACACCCCGGGCTCGCTTGAAGCGCAGCCCGACGCGGTGCCAGCACGTGAGCCCGGTGCCGACCCGCTGCTCCCACCTGCCCCAGGGCCGCCCTGAGTCACCGCTGTGGGCTGGAAGAACCGGGCCGGGAAAACAGAACCACTGCTCTGAGCCCCCAAGGGGAGCACAGAGGAGCCGCGCTGCCCCCAGGGCCTGGAATGGTCCAAAACAAGAGGAGAAAAAAAAATAATAATAATAATAAAAAGGAAAAACGTGGAGGAGGAGGAGGGTTTGACGTGTATTTTTAGTTGCTTAGCGCAGCCCTGAAATATTTCAGCAGCCACTCCCTCCGCGTCGCAGGCGGCTGCGGTGTAACTATTCCTGTGCTGCTGCCTCCCGAGCGGCGCAGCGCCGTGAGTCACCGCGGGACACGGCCCCACCGACCGGCACGGCTGGCAGCTGGGGGGCAGGACGGGGCCGTGGGGGCACCGCAGCGGCCGTCGCGCAGCCCCACGCCGAGCCCGGAGCTGTTTTTCCTCCTCCCGTGTCAGCGCAGAGCGCTGGGGGCTCGTTGCCTCTCGGCGGTTCTGGGGCAGGAAGGGGTTTGGGGAGCACAGAAGGTCGCAGAGCTGCGAGGACAGCACAGGATGCTGCCTGCACACAGGGAGCAAAACGATGCGAGATGCAGGGGGAGCGTTGAGGGAGGGCTGCTAAGGGAGCGCCGAAATGAAAGCAGAACAGCAGCAGAGCTTTGAGGAGATCGTGGACAGCTCTGCCTCGAGCCAAAGGTGCCACTGTTCTGGGTGCTGTATCGCCCCAGCACACACCGTAACTCCAGCCAGCACCGCGTTTCCTCCTTCACACGGGCGGCTGTAACGCGGGGTTGGTGCGGCTGGAGGCAGGGACTGAAAGGGAGGGAAGGGAAAGTCTGACACAGGGCTCAGGCTGTGCTGCACCGAAATGCCACATCGGTGTTTACTCGGAGCGAGTTTCCAGCACGGAGGACACACGAGCCCCACTCCCAGCGCTGGGCTGAAGGCAGCACAGCCAGACAGGGACCCAGCGGGGGGAGCAGCAGCACTGCAGCCCCTTCCCTTGAGCACGTGGTGCCCAGAGGAGGGCCAGAAGGGCTGAGCACGAAGCAGACGTGGGGCTCTGCAGGGCTCAGTGAGCAGCAGGAACAGGAAGGAAAGCGTTGGCAACAGGTTGGCGATTTATTCCTACCCACCACTCTGCACAAGTTTTATAAACGTTAAAAAAATAAGTGTATATAAAAGCACGTTCTGGACTCGTTTTCTCTTCCCAACAGTGGTGATGGCAGGGAGGTTTCAAGATGGAAATTGGGGGGGAGGGGAGGAGCAAACAACCAAACAACACAAAACCAACAAACCTTTTAAGAATGAGTTACAGTATCTGCTTTTACCCCCAAATTAAACTGTTTCAGTCATTCTCAAGAGTTCAGGCAAGGCCCAGAGCCCCTTTCTCCCCTCCCGCCCCCCCCATACAGACTTTCATTTTGGATCAGCCATGATTTTTTTGGGGGTGCGTTTTGCTCATGGAACTCTGCACCCCGTGGGATGGAAGACTCAGAGCAGCCTGAGCTCAAGACCCAGAGGACCTTCCTGCACCTGCAGGAGAGGAACACTCCCTCCCAAGGGAAAAGGTCTGAGCAGCTACCAGAAAATGAAACGACAGACAATGGCAGCGAAGTCAATCCCTGCACATCACAAAGAAACGTGCTTGGGAAGTGCTGCTGTAACTCAGGAATCAGACTTTGTGTCACAGGCACCAGGGAGAGAGCATTCAACATGGGGAAAAAGAAACATTTCATTTTAACAGCTCGATTGCTTTCAGGAAGAAAAAAAAAAAAACAGAACCTGAAAACAAACAGAGAGGAGCGAGGGGCGCTGCAGCCTTTCAGAAGAAAACACAGAAAAGCATTTCCTTTCAAGGGAACTTCTAATCTGAAGTCAAATTAGATATACACTAATTGGGAAACCCTCACTCGTCACAAAGCTCTCTTGGAAACAAGCCTTGAAGCCTAAAGCGAAATCCGTGCCGGTTCTCCTTTAAGCCAAGGCCAGAGACAGACAGACAGACTGCCCAAAACGGAGGGGAAGGAGACAGCCTGAAAGTTTGTTTTGTTCAAACACAACCAAACCAACCCCTACGACCCCTCATGTAGAGATACCATATCCTCAAGTTCAGTGTTTTTAAACCAAAACGCTGCGCCGGTTATGAACGCAAGACATTGCCAATGTTTCAAGTATTAAAAAACAAAATGAAAAACAAACCAACAACACAACCGAGCCTGAAAGCGTTTGCCTCAGATCTCACAGCACACAGGAGATTCTTGTGAATTAAACCTAGAGATCCCAACAAACTCAATAGTGCTGAAGTCAGGTCCTTAACCGTGAGCGGTTCTTTTTTAAACATTTCCAATTACAGGCTGGCTAAAAGCAGCCAAGAACTGCACTTTATCAGATTAAATAGCGAGGGGCTTCCAAACAACATGATTCGGGCACGGATCGACTGACGGAGGAGCAGAGATTGAACACTTTTGAACTCATGGCAATCCTGAGGTGATAAAACGAGGAGCATTGTGGCACTGTCCCTGGCCGGGGCTCACGCAGCCCCTCACTGCTTCGCCGATTGCCTGCCTGGCTTTTTTTCCTGCTGGCCTCTTCCGCTGCCTGGTATTCCTCGGCCACGGCCACCAAACACACCTACAGGGTGAGGAGAAAGAGCAGAGAGAGAACAGCATCAGTGTAAGCCTGTGACAACTCCCAGAGCTTCGCTGTTTGTTACGTTTCCCAGATGTGTGCTTGTTCTACAGCCTTTGTTAGAGGCAGAGAGGTGAATTTCACACTTCTCCCTCAGCAATTCCAGAGCCTGTCTGCATTCACCAGGGGCACAAACTTACCTCCCATCACCAGCAAGTTCAGCAGTACCTCTCTGGTTCTTTAACGTGCCCTCTGGCTAGCTGTGTATCATCATAAATTCATTTTGGAAAACGAAACCAAGGAGGAGAGACCCAGTATTAAACTGAGCGTCTGTCAGCAGTGGGGTCAGCATTATGCTGCACCCCCCGAAAGCCACACAACCAATCCAAAAAGCAACAAAGGGGGTGACTCAGTTTCAAGGCTGCTCAGCTACAAAACAGAAAAAATACATCCATGTCTGCCACCGCCTTGCTTGTGGGCAGGGTGATCCACCAGCAGGCAGGGGGAGCACAAAGGCAGCACTACCTGGGGGCTGTGATGAGTCCCAGACACCCTCACACCACGTAGCTGTGTTCCTCTCTGCCCTGAGAGCTGCTGACCGCCTCCAGCCCTGCCCTCCCAGCTCCGATCTGCTGCAGACAATCAGAGGAGCTCGTTCTGGAGCCCTCTGCTCTGGTCGTTCAGCTGAGATGTGTCTAAACCAGAGAGGAAAGAGATTGCTCCTAACCCTGCAGCCCTTGGGAAGCAGCTGGAGCCCTGCGAGCACCCTGAGAAGCTGAGCAGAGACTGCACTACTTCTGCATTGAGCAAGCCAAGAAGACGAAGGATTACCAGTGTCAGAAACAATAATCCTTTCAACTGTGTGCACAATTATAGCTTTACTTCTGCCTGCTGGCCTCTCAACAAAATTGTCCTGCCCTTTTTTTTCTTCCCCCTTAATGTCTCAGTAATGAGAGCCAAACCTCTTAGCTAATTAGCAAATGCCAAAGCTTCCCTTTAAAATATTCCATCAGCGAATTTAAGCTGCACATCAAAACAGCAGGGAACTCCACCTCAAACAGAACTCAGCCCCGCTCTCCACAAGGTGGATATTTCCACAGCAGAGAAAATACTTCAGCTAAAACATTTGTCCAAATAACCATATCCAAAAAGCTGCTGTGCCAAATGCTTTGGACGCTGAAAAGGGAAGAAGGAAAAAATAAAAGGCGCCTTCAGAATTGTAAAGGTCACTTCTGCGAGCTCAGAGCTGTTGGGAGGCAGCACAGGGAGCAGCCATCGCAGAGGGATTTTCCTCCTGCAGTCCCTGGGAGCTGTGGATGCAGCTCTTGGTGTGTCCCAGTGTGACACGATGGCCCCATGTCCCTCCCTGCCTTCCTACTGGGATTCCTCACATACTCACAGCTCACACTGCTCGTTAAGGGCACTCCCGTGGAGGCCTGGGGTTCCTTTTAAAACCCAGATCTCCCGAGTTGAACTCAGTCTTGTTGTAGCAAGGAAGTTTGTCTGGCATTTAAGCTCCCACTGCAGGCTAAGCCTGCACTGAAGATCCCTGGGGCTGAGCACAGTGACCACAAAGTGAATGGTAAAGACATGGCAGGAGGTGTGAGCACAAGAGAGAAATGCTTCTCAGGCAGCCAGCAGGACTGTGCTCAGAAAGGGCAAATATTTCCCCAGGCTGAAGTGCTCCAAGATAACCCAACCACGAGGAATGGAACAAGGAAGGGACAGCTGGGTTGGCCTATTTCTATGTAAGTGGCAACCTTTTATCAGAAACATGAAATATTAATTTGGAGCAGGAAGAAAACAAACCTTCAGATAACTTACATTTAAAAAAAAAAAAAAAAGGAATCAGCAGACCACAAGATGAGAAGTCCCATCCTACTGGGAGTAAAGATGACCTTTTCCTACCACAAGGATGGCCAAATTCAAGTCCAATTTCAGACAGAACAGCCACTTGTTTCCCTCCCAGATCCACAAAGCTAACAGACACCAGAAGTTTGGTGGGGCCGTGTTCTGTAACTAGCCAGGAGGGGCACAAACAGACAGCTTTGGAGACTCTGTTAAGCTCCTGCCCAGCCCAGGAACGAGGCAGGCTCATCCCTGGCACGTCTCCTTTCTGCTCTTTGGCAGAGGCTGACTTGCAAGCCAGACAACACACTCACTCGGCTAGATCTTGCACAGGAGCAGCTCCGGCTTCTCACAGATCAACAGCTCTGGGTTCAAAGCTGAGAAGCATCAGCCCTTCCTTGCACAAGAAGTGAAATTTAAAGGCAGGAATTCCAGTCACCCCTCTCTGAAAAGCAAAAAGGATCGTTACCTCGTCCAGCACCTCCAACACCACGGCCCTTCTGTTGCTTCTGCTGTTGCATCCCACCACGGCCTCTGCCCTTGGAGACCACCTCTTCTTTCACCATGTCAATTATTTCATCGGGGATCCGAAGGTATTTAATTGTGCTGCCACGAATGTAACACTCCGGCATTCTCCAGAACTTGTCACCATCCTATTGGGGAGCAGTGTGTTAGGCTAAGAACAAGACCACGTGCTCTTACGTTGCTTTTTGGCTCTTGAATATTTCCATCACTTCTGGAGAATGTGACAGATACAACAAATCTTTTCTGGAAGAATAAGCCATAATTAGCTGTGAAATTCCTCTTTTCTCTCCAAAACACGCAGCCCTACAGCCTGCCGGGGTCAGGGGGCACTCAGCCATGAGCCACTGAAGTTTCAGCCCGTCCAGAACTGCCTTTGACTCTCACAGAAAATGAAAGAAGAAGAGGCTGAGGAAACAGCACCTTCCCTTCGCTTCTCATACAAGAAGAGAATCGAAAGTGGGACTGGAGAGGGAAACGTGGTGAGTTACACACAGCTGCTTCAAGCAACGAACTCAGGCAACACAGGGCAGTTCCAGCAGAGGCAAACGCACAGATTTCCCCTGCAGAAGCCCCAGCCAGAGTCACCTAACAACTGCACTCCTCTGCGGTGTGGATTGAGCAGCAATGCAGCGTCCAGCTGGGGGTGGGGTGCGCCCAGCAGCACACAGGAACCGCGGCTGTGGAAAACAAGAGCTTACAGATCATGTTAAAATAAACCTTCGGGTGCCAAGTTACGGAGCAGCTGCCTCTGTGTTTTGTTTAAGGCAGTTTCAGGGCTTTGCTAGGCCACGGCCCATCAGGGCTTCAGCTCCTGTGGCTGTGGGAATAGGAACTGCATGTGAAAGCTGAATAACAACTGATGTAAGCGGGAGGAGGGATGGAGCCTCGTGCGCTCGGCTCTGCTCTGCTGCAGGGCTTGGCTGCACACAGGCTCCTCACAACTATCACACGTGGACAAAGTGTCCACAACCGTCCCAGAGGAGTGGGTGAAACCAGAATGCCTCGTTTCACCTCTCCAGGATCAAGTCGTCCCCCCTCTGCTCCAGAGTTATTTGGGGCAACGCAGCATGCACAGGCAAGTCCCGTGTGCGAGACAAGGCGGAGGAGCAGCCTTCTTCAAACAGGCACCCAGCAAACCCCACCCTGCCTGGATCCGCCCGGCTGCACTTTGGCTCCCGATGCAGGAAGGGATGGAGCCAGGTCCCCGGCTTCCTCGTTCCAGCTCCCGGGGTAAACAGGCGCCGCCGCTCCGTGCCATCTAGTGGCTGATCCCCACCGTGCCACCAGCAAGGCTCCCAGCAGCACTGCAGGGGCATTCGGGGGTGGGAGTGAACTGCAGAGCATTCGGTGGGAATAAATGCTGAGGAAGTGCTCTGCCCTCACCATCACAAAGCCACTTTCTGAGGAAGCGGTATTAAAGGCCAGCATCCCCTGTTCTGCAAGCACTAATAAGGCTTTGCCACTGCCACCCCTTCCCACAGAACTTATCTGCCCCGCCAATTTGTGGAGCTGCACATTTTTAGGGCTCACTTCTCTGCCCTTAAGGCCCTTCTTAAACATTTGCTCGGTCGTGCTTATGTGCAAACATCTCTGTGCCCCAGCAGTATTGGCCAATACCTTCCTGCCGTGGGTTCAACAGGCACTAAAGGCTGCAGAAGGGTTTTCTGGAGAAGAAGGGTTTCCCTGACAGCCTCTCCCACAGACCTCTGGTGTTCTCAGATGCAGACAGCAGCAGCAGCAGCGGGAACGTGGCCAGGCACAGGCTGGCAGGGACAAGACCAGACACTTCGGGCTGAGGTCAGAGCTCAAAGCACAGATCCCAATCTTCTGGAGCACCTTTGGCCATGGGCAAAAGTACCAGACAAGGCACAACCCGGGTAAACAAGAGGCCCTGATTATTTTTGATGTGGAGTTACAAGGCGAGAGGCCGGCGCTGATGAAAGCCAGCGCTGTGCTTGATGGGGCTGCACAGAGCGGGCACCGAGGATGCAGCTCAGCACCAGAACAGGACCTGTCACCAGCCCTCCACACCGAGCGCTCTGACCCTGCCCCGCCATTGGGCTCATTTGATTCTTACAGCTCATAAATAACTGCATTACATTCACACCCAGGGCAAAAGCAACACAGAGGAGCGAGGATCTCTGCGAGTCCCACTCAGCTGCAGGGCTGGAGGTCAGGGGCTGCCAGCACGGGGGGTCTCCGGGCACAGTGGGGGTCCCAGCACCGAGCAGCCGCGCCGCTCCTTACCCGCGAGGTGCAGATGACCTCCCGCAGGTTGATGTTCATCCAGTTGTCGCAGCTCACCAGGTGCCCATTGTACGTCTCTCCATTCTTCAGCTCCACCAGCTGAAAGAACAGGGGGTCACCACGCGGACACCGGGCCCGGCAGGACAGCGCCGAGCCCGAGGCCACAACGGGAGTGGGACGGGAGGGCCGGGACTCACCATGGGGTGGTTCTGCGCCGTCTTCAGCAACGACAGGGGCAGCTGCGGGGGAAAGAGAGAGAGGCCTCAGGAACCGGGACGCGGGGACCGCCTGTATTTCCACGCAGACTACGCAGAGCGGCGGGGAGTCCCAGGCCCGGGGAATCCCAGGCCCGCCGCCCCCCAGCCCGCCGCCCGGCCCGGCCCAGGCCCGCACTCACCATCGTGCCGGAACCGCGGAGCCGCCGCCGCGCCCGGCGCTGCCGCTCAAACCGCCCCCGGCCCCGCGCGGGGCCAATCAGAGCGCGGCGCGGCCCCCGCGGAGCCAATCAACGCGCAGGACCCGACCTCTGCCGTAAAGCATCGCCGAGGCCGCCGGTCCGCAGCGTCACGACAGTGCCGTAAATTGAAAAGCGGGGCGGGAAGCGGCGGGGCTCCCAGCTGGCCCCGCGGGCCCGTTGTGTTCCGTTCCTCTCAGGACTCCGCCAGCGCGACCCAGCAGGACCGGGAACGCTGGGCGTGAAACCACCGTAGCGTTCCGTACGGGTTTAACCAGCCCGACTCCGCGCTTCGCGATAAGCCCGTGAGGCGGCTCTGAGCTCAGCCCCTTCCGGACCGCTCCACCTCCGCTGCCGCCCCAGGAGCTTGGGGGACCCCAGAGTTGAGGGGGCCTCGTTGGCCGCCACCCCCGGCCTCGCGCTTTTCGCCCGGCGGCGGCGGCGGCGCTCAGGAGCCGCTCTAGGCAGCGAGGCGACGCGCACTCTATGGCCGCGCGGGGCCGCTCTAGGCAGCGAGGCGACGCGCACTCTATGGCCGCGCGGGGCCGCTCTGGGCGCCGGGGCGGTGCGCACTCTATGGCCGCGCGGGGCCGCTCTGGGTGTCGGGGCGGAGCGCGCTCTATGACCGTGCGGGGCCGCTCGCTCAGTGCGGTGCGGCCGCGGGCCGGGTGGGAGCGGAGATGGAGAAACCGCGGCGGGCGGTGGTGGTGACGGGTACGGGCGGCGGGACCGGGGCGGGAGAGCGGGGAGGGGGCGGCCGGGTGGGCTCTGCTTCCCTTATGTAAGCGGGGGGCGGTGTCGGGCGCTGGGGGCTGCGCTGCGGGATTGGGGAGGGGGGCGGTGAGGGGGTCGGGGGGGGGTGAGGTGAGCCCTGGGGTCCTGCCGGGGGTGCGGGGCTGCGGAGCGGCTGGCAGGAGCTGCCCGGGGCACGAGGTGCTGCTCAGGTGCTGCCGGGGGTGCGGGCTGCCCTGGGAGGGGCGGTGCTGCTGCTGCGCTCCTTTGCGACGGGCTGCAGCCCTGGGGAGGGCTGGGGGCTGCGGGAGAACGGAGGGGGTTCGGTGCCTCCATCCCCGTGCCACGAGCCCCTTTCGGTGTCCCGAGGGCAGCGGCCCCACGGCCGGCGCGGTCCCCGCGTGTCGCAGCGCAGCGTTCGCAGCCCGGGAGCTGCGCTGAGCGGCGATCGGACACAACCCGGCAGTCGCGAGGTTCCCCCCGATCCCCGCGGTACTTTTGTTTCCCATCTTCTGCAGCGGGGGGAACGCTGCTCCTAAAATTCAGAGCTTATTTCGCTGGATCTGCCCGCGATAGCGCATGGCCGATGTCACGCTGAGTTCCCATTCAGTGCTGTGCGTGTCACGCCGAGGGCAAGCCTCATTCCTGTGCCGTTTCTCTTTTAGAGCTCTGTAAGGAGATAATCCCGTACACGTCTGCACGGAGGGCTCAGTGCTGTGCGCCTGCAGGGCCCTGTGCTGCACGTGGGGTGGCTGCAGCCGAGTTTGGTGCTGCACAGAAAGTTGCTCACCTGCCACGAAAGGAATCGCAGGGGGGGGCGGTGCGGAGATGAGTGAGAGGGGCTTTGTGCAGCTCAGCTGGGTTCAGAACGAGAGGTTTTGGTTACGCTGGGGGCACCTGGAGAGCTGCAGCCTTCCGGAGTGCTTTGTAGAGAAACCGTCCCAGCGAGACGTGTTTGGTGCCTTCGTCTTTATGGGGAAACAACGTCTGCGTTTGGATCCCGTGGGAGCCTTCAGAAGGTTTATTCTGGGGAGATACTGACGCTGGTTCGACTCGGAGGCTTCAATTGAGATGGAGACCCCAAACCTCTGGCGCCTGTAACCTCAGCCCTCACCTTCTGCTGGCAGCACATGGAGGTTTCCATTAGTGTGTCATGTAATATTTGTGGTCCTTTCACAGCTGAGATGAAATGTGTGCCTCCTGATTGCATTAGGCTCGTGGGGTGGCTCTGACATCTTAAATGAAAGCAAATTGACCCCGTGCCCAGATAAATGCCTAACCTTTGTGTGCTTGCTCAGGAAAAGATGTTATGGATTACTAGTTAACTCTGAGTTACTCATTAGGAAATGCAGATACGGGGAGTTAAGTGTTTTTATAGCGCTGTCATAACCTTTGGAGCTCGGTGTAGGAGGGTCAGCAGTGTTTTGTTTGGTTCCTTTAAGGCAGCAGAGATCTTGGTGAAGGTGTGAGCAGAGGAGGGGTACTGGAGGCAGACTTGTTTGTGGAAGCATCTGTTGTGGGCTGTCAGGGTTGGAAGATCCAGTCATGATCCTCGTTCTGTGCCATCACTCGACTCCTCTGTAGCTAACGAGTGGTCCTAACCTGGTCAGCAAGGAGAAAATACACCAGTAGGGGCTGGGTACTACGAGCAGTGGGAGCTCATAAATCCAAAAAGCACAGAGCGCAGCTGTTGTAGTCCAAGCTGCAGGGCTCAGCTGCTCACTGGGGGCTTTTCTTCTCTTTCAGGGTTTGGTCCCTTTGGAGAGCACGCCGTCAACGCCAGTTGGATTGCAGTGCAGGTAATGCTGTAACTTCAGCCTTGGAGCAGCACCATCCCCTGCCTGCATGCATTTCAGCTCTAATTCTGCTCTGCCTGCTCACCCCGTGTCCAGGCACTCAGCTGGGTGAGGTTTTGTCCACCTCTCAGGAAGCAATCCCTTTGCTGGTAGGACTTAGTGAGATTGGGTTCATACAGCAAAGGCAAATAGGAACCCCTAGGCTGACTGCCTGCATTTCGGAGGAGTTAAATGGAGCGTGGAGCCCGCAGTCTTTCTCCACCGCTTAGCAGAGGGAATTCAAAATAAATAAACCGAAAGGAATTTGTATGTTTTTTCTCTCAGCTGCAGCCTGGGTCTGGGTGAGCAGGTTGACCTTTAAGCCCTCTCATCTGTAATGGGGCTCAGCACGCGGGGCTGTGGTTGAAGTGCTCATGGAGTGGCATTGCTTGAGCAGGTCAGAACTCTGCTAAACCAGAGCTGAGGATGCTCTGTAGTGTTCTGTAAAGCATTAGCTTGGGCAGCACTGTCACATTCTCCCAATTCTTTCTTATTTGTTGCTCCTGGATGTGGTTAATGACAAATTCCACTGGGAATTCACGGTGCCTTTTAGTACAGCTGCCCAGGAAACTGAATCTGCTTTTCTCCCCAACACGTCTCTCTTCCCTCCAGAGCTCGGGGATTAATATTTTCTTTAGAATGCCTTTAATTTAAATCTCAAGCTCTAATCAATTACAGTCAGCTGATGTCCAGATGTCCAGCGTGCTGACTGCTGAGGGGAGAGGAAACCTTTGGCTCTGAGAGCCGCTGGGGCTGAATGCACCCGAGTTGGGTTTGCTCAGCCAAGGCTGGGGAGGATGCAGGCTGTGTTACAGAGAACTGTGTTACTGACGGGCAGCCATGAGGCCATGGGTTTGGTTTGTTCCTCCTCACATCGTGTCAGGTCTTGTTTCCAAGCTGCTTTTCTGCTAGAGGAGACGCACAGCAGAGCGCTGTGTGTTTGGACGGGATGGGAGGTGGGTGTTGTGCTGTTCTTACAGGAGCAAACCTGAGGTGTGCGGTGTGTAAGAGGAGCAGCCCCACGCTGAATCGACTGCGTGCACCTTCAGCTGGTGTTAAGTGCTCAGGGATGCTTTGGGAAGGGAAAACTGCAGCAGGGCCCACCTCCCCGCGGTGCCATCCTGCAGCCAGGAGCACGGGGTGCCCAGATCCCCCTCCCCTCACCCCGTCTCAGCCCGAGAGGCCCAGACAAAAAGGAGCAGCACGGCTTTGAGCACGCCGAGGTGGGCTTTGTGCGACTCAGACGGGGCCCTCATGGAGCAGCGTGGACACAAAGGCGTCTGAGTTGCTGAGCCCCAGACGGTGTGATCTGCATTTTAATAGAAGAAAAATCAATTAAACAATCTTCCTAAATCCTTTCTAGCTCCGGGGCTGAGCTAGTTCTGCTTTGTTGCATCTTTTATTATCCCACATCCCAAGGATAAGATTCCCTGCTTTTCTTCCCTGGTGTTGTTTGGGCTCTGACACGGAGCACAGATGTGGTGACTTTTCCTGCATTGAAGCCGTGCAGTTCTGTGAACTTCTGGTGTCGCTGCTCAGTTTTGAAGCTCCATTATTTTTTTACACGTGATAAACACAGAGAATCCCTCACCTTCAGGTCATGGCAGCAAACACTAGGGTTAAATAAATGCTTGGAGAGCTGAATCCACACGGATTCAGAGGGGCTGATAACTTCTCACAGCTCTCAGAGCTCGCAGTGATAACGCTCTGCCTCACACCTGTGCTGTGCCACACTTTCATCTCTTTAACGTTTGCTTGGAGGCTCTCTGCAGCTGCAGCTCTGCAGGAAGTGGTGTGGGATACCCTGCCAGTATGGCACAGGTGTGTCCTGTCCCACCATCCCCATCCCACCATCCTGTCACATCCCCATCCCACATCCCCGTCCCACCATCCCCATCCCACCATCCCACCATCCCACCATCCCCATCCCACCATCCCGTCCCGCATCCCCATCCCACCATCCCATCCCACATCCCCATCCCACCATCCTGTCACATCATCCCATCCCAGCAGAGCGTGTCTGGCTGCGCCGGGGCTCAGTGGAGAGGTCAGGGAGCAGCACAATGGCTGTCAGGGTGTCTAGACAGACCTGATAGGGATATTAAGGGCTCACAAAGAAGCCCATTGTCCGGGGGTCAGGGAATGGGTCAGACGTGTTCGTTTTTCTGTGTTTGTCAGGTATACAAGGCAGTGGATAATGAGTTGTCTGGGGGCCAGAGTACATCTTTATTAGTGAGTGGAGGGCTGTGTGTCGGAGCTGTGAGCAGTGCAGAGCTCTGGGATTCAGGAGCTCTGTGGAGGAGCAGTGATGAATTCCTACAATTAACGCTGCGGAGCTCTTCCTAAAGAGGCTGCCTTGTGTGTGAGTGCTCTAATTTGTAAACAAGTGACTTCGTTAAGGTGCCGGGTAAAGCAGGCAGCGTTTGGAAGGTGGCTTTGTGTAAAGACGTGATGAAATGTCACTTAACAGCACTGGTTGCCACACAGCAGTCAGTGCAGGGAGCCTTCACAGCCCAGTCCTTGGAGCAGGAGGGGGGACTGATGGCTGCAGGTAAGGGCTGGGGCTGCGTGGTTCCTCTGCTTCTTCCAAGAACTGAATAGGACTCCACTTCAAAAAATAACGAAGCCAACCCTTTTTCTTATTATTTTCATATTTTTTTTTCAGCGTGGCAGTTGCTGGTGTGGCTCCCATCCGTTTAATATTATCAGATTGCTCAGTCCTGCACTGCCTGAGCAGAACAAACTGTGAGCACAGGTGGGGAGCTGCCCCTGTGGCTCTTACAGCTCTGTCCCTTCAGCCTCTCCTTCCGTGGGACCCCTCTCTCTGAGGCAGCGTGGGGCTGTGAGAGGAAACCAGCAGAGCTTTCATTGCTGTGCTGTGGCTCTGGGGGAGCTGCACAGGTCCTGCTGCCTCCTGCCCGTTCTGCACTGTGCTCACAGCAGTGCATGCTCTGCCCCACCTGTATCTGACCTCCTTGCTTTGTTCCTTCCTTCCCACGTGTTCCTAGGAGCTGGAGAAGCTCGGGCTGCGAGATGGCGTGGATCTGCATGTCTATGAAGTCCCGGTGGAATATCAGACAGTGCAGAGACTCATCCCTGCATTGTGGAAAAAGCACAGTCCACAAGTGAGTGAGTGGAGGGAGGAGAAGAGATGGAGGAGCCGACGCATGTAGTGAGCACCACGCAGCACCGTGCTGTGAGCTGCATTCAGTGCTGCGTCCTCTGCCGGATCCTTTCCTCTTTCCTCATGCAAACACCTGGATTTGCAGCATTTTGTGGCTCAAAATGCAGTGCTGCAGTCAATGGGAGCTCAGCATGCAGGGCTGCGTGGGCAGCTCCGCTCCCTGCCATAATTAATTAGAGCTGAGGGGCAGGGGGGCAAAACGAGAATCGCTTTGTGCTGTTGGTTGCTACAATGGCTGATTATGTGATGGTGGTGCAGGAATTCAGGTGGAGGCTCTGTTGGTGTTTCTGGGGACTGTGGGCTGTTGGCTGTCCACCGGTGTGCGCTGGTTGATGTAACGTGTTTCTTTTCTCTCGTAGTTGGTGGTGCATGTAGGTGTGTCGGGTATGGCTACCACTGTCACTCTGGAGAAGTGTGGCCATAATGTGGGTTATAAGGGCTTAGACAACTGCCGTTTCTGCCCAGGCTCTCAGTGCTGCGTCGAAGGCGGCCCAGAGTGCATCGATTCCATCATTGACATGGACGTGGTTTGCAGGAGGGTCTCAGCACTGGGGCTGGATGTCACCGTCACCATCTCTAAGGATGCTGGCAGGTATGGGGCGAAGTGATCCACGGGAAGCAGGCACCTGCTGCACTGCATGCTGTCTCTGCAGTGCATGCACTCTTTGCAGTGCATGCTGTCCCTGCCGTGCATGCTGTGTCTCTGCAATGCATGCTGTCCCTGCACTGCATGCTGTCTCTTTGCAGTGCATGCTCTCTTTGCACTGCATGCTGTCTCTTTGCAGTGCATGCTGTCCCTGCACTGCATGCTCACTCTATGCTCAGCTGACGTTCACTGCTGGCACTGCTCTGTTCCGTGGTCTCGCACTGATGATGGGAAAGCATGCAATCTTTGTGTTTTGTCCTAGATTAGGTGCTGTGAGCGTGCCACTGCTTCAGCCTGACTTGCATTGCACTTTTTATTGCAGGATGTTGATGCAACGCTGAGTGATAACACGGCTCGCTGCGTCCTGCAATTTGCACGCTTTATTTGTCACATGTTGCTAAATCAGCTCTGTTTTTATATTTCAGGTACCTGTGTGACTTCACTTACTACACTTCCTTATACCAGAGCTGTGGGAGGTCAGCTTTTGTTCATGTGCCTCCCCTGGGAAAGCCGTACAGCGCGGAGCAGCTGGGCAGGGCACTGCAGGCCATCATCGAGGAAATGCTCGACGTTTTGGAGCATTCTGAAGACAAAATCAATTGTCAGCACGAACACTGAAAGCAGGCAGGAGCTGTCCTGGTATTGCACTTCCTAAAGTTCCCCCCTGCTGCTGAAGTATGGGAGGAGTGCTCTGTCTGAGATGTGCAGAACGAGAATTGGAGACTTCAAAAATGAAAAACCCCACGTCCAGAAATTGACTTTTTTTTTTCTCTCTCTTTTTTTTTTTTTTTTTTTTTTTTTTATTTCAATGAAGAAATCGAGATCCCTTCTTTAACACAACACCTGCAGCTGCTCATTCCTGGAGCATCCGTGCTGTGCTTTACCCAGAGCTCATCTGCTGGCCAAGTGATGGCTGCTGGGCCATCCCACCCTGCTCAGATGATGGGAAGCTCCTTGGCCAGGCTCAGTGTTTGGGTGCAGGGAATCGATGACCCCGTCTTCTAATGACTGCTTGTTGAGTTGGAAGGTTTGCTTTCCTTCTGTCTCGTTTTGTTTCTCCTCGTTGGCCCGAATTGTAGGTCCTAATGTGAAAGCATAACTGAAATGAATTGGGAGTTTGTTGTAAGAAAACAACAAAACTGCTGGGGACGAGGAGCTCAGAAACTGCTTTTGAATTGACAAAGGTTACGTTTGCTGCCTTCTGCATCGGGGCCCGGCTGCTGTGGCTGCAGGTGGAAGGGCTGCGTGCTGGGTTGCAGAGCAGGTCACCTTTTGTACATGGAACGATCTGAGCTCGCACCAAATCCTTCCAGACGTCCTCATGTTGGGTCAGGGCTGCCGAGTGTGTGCTCAGCACGTCGCTGTGCTGAGGAGCTCTGCTAAAGGCCACTTTCTCCACAGGAGATCTTTATCACGGTCTCTTGGTGCTGGCTGTTATTTTTAAGGCGAAGGCTGAGTAATTTATAACTTCCTTCGCTCTGAACTTTTGTTCTCGTTAAAGGTTGGCTGGAGAGTAATGTTTAACTTCGGTGCCAGGGGGTGCTGCCAAAGGGCATCTCACACCTCAGAGCTGCTCTCGGAGCCCACAGACAGCTGCTGGCTGTTTGTATATAAAAACACAGAGAGAATAATCTTTCAGAAAGGTTTTAGAACATCATTCCTTCTGTTTTCCTGATGATGAATGGCTCTGCTGCACTGAGAGCTGCTGGCCGTGAGGATGGGCATCGGATCCCACTGGGTGCAGAGAATCATAGAATGGTTTGGGTTGGAAGGGACCTCAAGGATCATGAAGCTCCAACCCCCTGCTGCATGCAGGGCTGCCAGCCTCCACATTTAATACTGTGCCAGGCTGCCCAGGGCTCCATCCAACCTGGCCTTTGGGATGCTTTCCTGCCCGAGTTTGCCTTCCAAGCGAATGCTCTCCTTGGCACTGGGGCACCACGCAGTGCCCGTCAGCTCATGGCAGGCTTTCAGATCTGTAATTTATTCTATTTAATATTTAGTTGAAGTGTTGGTGGCTCGGGGCAGCTCCCAGATAGTTGAGCTCTTATCTCCGTGTAGCTCCGCTGTGTTTGGGAGGAGCTGCTGGTCTGGCGTAGCTGCTGAGCGATGGAAGGGGGAAGGTGCTGCGTTGGGTCTTTGAGGCAGAGCTCCTGTGCTGACAGTCCCTTAGAAAACGTAATTTATTTTATAATCTTTTGGGCTTCTTGGTGATTTTTGGATGGTTAGTCCTCAGAGGGTCGGGGCGGTAGCGGCGTTTCGGGTAGCGAAACCTTTTAAAGATGGCTGAGTTAAGCTGAGTTTGTTTAATCTGACCTAAATTAAACGCTTTTGCTTTGTTTTTAAAGCTTTCTGTTGGTGGTGGTGGTGGTAAATGAGTTGATTCTGAACGCTTCTCTGCCGTAGGAATTTGTGGGTGATCCCTGGGGGTCTCTGCAGCTCGGGGTCCTGTGGTTCAGAGCGATGCGGGGCTGCTGAGTGTCTGCTTTATCTCCCCGGTGTCGGCGAATAGGATTTGCTGATTTGCACTGATGGAGCCCCACTGCTGGCTGCAGATGAGGTCACAAAGGAGCGTGGGTCGTTCAGGTTTAGCGTTCGTGACGGTGCCTGCGGTTGGTGATGTTTCAAGGCTGTGTTTCAGGATCAGAATCGTCTCTGGTGGCGCACTGAGAAGTGGGGTGAGGGCGTTTTGCGTGGGAGAGAGAAGGAGGGGGGTTCCTATGTGGGCTCTGGTGCCACACATTGAGGTGCTGGTGGATGGAGCGGGGCTGGCTGTGGTGCTGGGGGGGGGTTGTTGGTGTCAGGGTGATGGTTTTGGTTGTTAAATGCTGCAGAAGGCGTTGAGGAGCTCCTGGTACCCGAGAACTCCTTCATCCTTTGGGGGGCTGTGATGTGGGGAGGTGTTACCTTTGGGTTAAGCACGACCATCCGTTGTACGAAACTGCAAAAAGGAAACAATCCCGTGAGCTTCAAAGCTCCTTTCCCTGCAGGATGCTCGGCGGTGTGGCTGAAGGCACGGCCCAAAGCTGCTGGCATCTCTGCATCACCGCCGTGTCAAAGCCCAGGGCTGGCAGAAGCAGTTCTCGCTGATTTGGAGCTCTTCCCAACCCGGCTGTGTCCGGAGCGCAGCAGCAATGGGGAGGGACAGAAGCGTGGAGGGATGGTGGGAGGTGTTCTGTGGTTGTGGTTTGGGGCTGAGGGTGAAGGCTGAGAGCTGTGAGAAGAGCTCAGAGCGGATTCAAACCGAGCACCGTCTCCGTGCAGGAGCAGAAGGGGGTCTGCAGTGGGGGGGAGGTGCTTTGCTTCGTGTTTACTGACCTCAGCAGCGTGCTCAGGTGTAGCATTTGGAGTCTCAGCACCGTGCAGGCAATGCTGAACCTTCCAGTGCCTCAGTCCTCCAGCACAGGGTGCTGTGCTGCTGTGTCCTGGTGTCCCATGGCTCTGGATTGGGCAGCAGGTGGCTCTTTGCAGCAGCAGCCCCGGTGCTTTGTGCTATAAGTGCACTTACAGGTCGTGTCCGTGTCTGGTCGCTGTCTGACGTGGCCCCAGTGGTGTTCTGCCAAACCTCCAACAAAGCTGAGGATGCTGTCAGTTCACTGAGCGAGCAGAAACCCGAGAGCTGCTCTGTCCCATCTATTTTAAGGCGAAGTAGAGAAGCAAACACCTAGATAGGAATTAATGCTAGGGAGTGAATCTGTGCGCTGCCCTTAAATCCAACTCCGTGCTACTTAACCACACGTTCAGGTTTTACATTGCACCAGCTTCTTACATTGCAAATGTTTACTCTGATGAACAGGGAGTGCCTTGTCCTGCGCTGGGCTCTGGGGAGCAGAGCGGAGCGTTGGGGGCTGAGGGTCCCTCTGCAGGGGGTGGGGGGCTCTGAGCTCCTTCACCCCTTGTGCTCTCCAGGAGCTGCACTGCATTGGGGGTTTCCTGGAACACACTGGGATGTGACAAAGGGAAAAGGGAAGGGGGGGGGCTCTCATTGCTTGGGGAGAGCAAACCCTTTGGGGTTCTGTCTGTTCTGAGGTGCTGTGTGTCCCAGTGCTGCTCTGCCCCCCGTCCTCCTGTTGTTGTGCCGACGTCGCTGCGGTCTGAATGGAGCTCTCTGGTGTTGCCCATCTGTGCTCGTAGGACTCCTGGAGCTACAGCTTCAAATCTGTGGGGGCTTCTGTTCTTCACAGTGTGTTCTTGCAGTGCCTTGTAACCCCTAACAGTCTGTGTGCCACAAAGGGCTGTGTCACAAAGGGCCGCTCGCATTCCCTCTGCTCACTGTTGCTCCACTGGACTTTGTAACTGAGAACTTAAACCCATGTTTCAAAGTAAATAAAGAGTTTAACTCTGCCTCGTGCTGTTCTTGAATGGTTTTTGGATTTCTGGAGGTGCCTTTTGGGGGGTGGGAGCAGCCTTTCTGCAGCTCTGTTCTGGGCGGTCCCACGTGGGACTGGAGCAGGGCACAAAGGAAGGATGGAGCTGCAGTGTGCTGTGTTGGGACACCACAGAAAATCCCCTTCCCCATCACGGAGGGGAAGGCACAGCATCCGCCTGCACTGCTCATTCTTGTGAGCCTGTGATTTGGGGGAGCAAACACTGCCCAGTGCTTTGTTTGTGAGCTCAGCAGGGATCCATTCTGCTCCTGACTCCATCAGGCAGGCGGTGAAACCCTGAGATGGATGCTGCTGGGGGGCTGCAGCAGTGCCCCCCCAAAAAACACTGCCCCATGGGGGGCACCGATGGCCAGCGCTGCCTCTGCTCTGAGCTTTGTGGCAGGAGGGGATGAGGGAGGGAATCCTGCTGGCCTTGGGGCGTCTGCCTGCTCCGCGTCGCACGGCTCAGCCTGGGGATGCGGTGCCAGGTGCTCACGTGCCTGCTGTGCTGATGCAATGCTGGGCTGAAGCTGGCTCACGAGGTGCCGGTGATGTCATGCAGCGTGTGTTGCAATCTGAGCTCTCTGCAGGGAGAGGTGGGAGCTGCTGCTGTTGGGCCCCACGCGCCCTGCGTGCATTCCTTGGCCGTGGTTTTGGGCGGTGCTGGAGGGTCTCGTTGCAGAGCAGCTCTGGGCAGACCCTTCCCCCGGCATCACCCCTCTGGGAGCCGCTCTGTTCCTCCTCCTCCATCCTCCTGGCTGAGGTGGGACGTTGGGACGTTGGCCAGCTGGCGCCTTTCCCCAGCTCAGCCACGAACCAGCAGCCTTGGGGACCCCCAGGAGCCCAACACCCCCAGGGGTGTCAGTGGAGCCCATCCCTCCACCCCGCTGTGGTTTTGGGGCCGCTCCCCAGCTGCCCAGTGGCAAATCTCAGAGCACTTCTCATTGCCCAGAGCCCACCCTGGGGGGAGCTTGGGGCGGGGGCTTGCAGCCGCTTCCCTCAGTTCTTTTCTCCTTTGGGTGCTCCTCACCCCACCGATAGGAGCTCTTATTGGCCTCTGTTCACACTGTGCCCACAGTGCCCAGACACCACGAGAACTCCCCAATATTCCCATGGCAGCACTGTGCACGGATGGGGCTCTCACACAGGAATGGCTTTGAGGAGCTCTGTGCTGCCCTGCTCGTGGGGATGGGGACGTCCTGCTGCTGAGAGCACCGCTGTGGGGCGGTGAATGACACCATCCAGGGTGAGATTTCCATTTTTGGCCATAGGGTTTGAGCAATTTCCTGTCTTGCACAGACGAGGGGGTCTGGGGGTGGGCTGAGCCGGCAGCCGTGCGTGCCATCAGGTTGGAGCGTCGCTTCCAAGTGGAGCAGAAGTCTCATTTTTGGTGAATGCCGTAAGCGCAGAACAAAGGGAGAGCAGCCAGTCCCACTCCTGCTGCAGCAGCACCAAGGCTGCCTGCGCTCACCTGATCCTGCCCATCTATTTACAGATAGCCAAAGGTCGGCCGGGTTCTGCTGTGCACATTCACCATGACAGCACAGGGAGGACATGGGACGCTGCACCCTGCGCTGCAGCCGTCGTTTCTGAGCCCTCCGTGCCCAAATCCATTCCTCTGAGAGAGCAGAGCTGTGTGCGGTGATGCTGCCCAGACCTTGAACGACCACTGTTACTGCAGCATGGCTGGGGCACCGGGTTGGTGCTGAGAGAGGATGGAGAAGTAGGAGCCTCCTCGGGGTGCTGCAGCACTGCGGGCAGTGTTGGGGAAGTGGTGCTGCCCGGGTTCCCTTCCCCTTCCTCCCGCTGTTGGGTCGCTGCGCAGAGCTGCAGGTGGATGCGATGGGTTCCCATTGGCAGCACGGTGCTGGACCTCATCCTGCCAGAGATGTGCAGGGAAGTGACACCTTCCCGTGCTCCGCAGCGCATGCCCTGAGCTCCAGGCTGTGCTTTGCCCGTGATAAAGGCAGGAAATTCCTCCATGCGACCTCCGACAGAGCGCAGTGCTGATGGAGGTGGGGGGATGCTCTGATCGTGCAGCCTGGCCAGGACACGCCAGAGAATTTCCCAACAGATCGTTCAGCATCCGCAAATGCTGCTCTGAAAGCACAAATTTTATCGCTGTTGCTGGGCTGTAAAATTTCCGGCTTCACCGCTGGCGCCTTTGGGAGGAAAACATCCGGCTTTGCAAAAACTTTGATGCTCCACACGACCCTCCGTGCATCACATGTGGAGGGGACTGCAGCACACGGGGCGCCCACAGCTCCGAAAACGCATTGCCAAAGCAGAACTGTGGGGGACAGAACTCACTGCGTCGTGCTCGATGGATGGGAGGTGTGATGGCTGATGGGATGGGACCTTTCCAACCACCTGCACAGCTCAGATCCTGCACTGTGGATTGCCATCCTGCTGGGAGCTGAGCTGCCCAGGGACAGCGTGGCAGCCCCGTGCCTTCAGCAGCTCCATAGGGCTGCTGCTCACCTCACAAAGCTGCTGCATGCCTGTCCCTGCTGCAGGGATGGGGATGGGGATGTGGCCGTGCAGAGCCCAGTGGTGGCACACAGGAATGCTGAGCTGTGCGTGGGATGCAGCACTCAAGGAACGTTGGCTCTGGCAGCAGTGCTGCCGCAGGAAATGGCCCAGAGGAACCAAAACTGTGGCAGGCAAAAGCTGCGGGCAGAAAAAGGCAGCACAAAGACAGCTGAGGGGTTCCATTCATCCACCTGTCCGTCCATCCATCCGTCCATCCATCCATGCATCCACCCATCCACTCATCCACCCATCCACCCCTCCACCTCTCACCCCAAGCAGCACAGCAGTCACACTGTGCCAACCCCCCGCATGACGCCGCTCGTGCTGATGAGCCAATGCTTTCTCGTGGCCATGGGTGAAAATCTTGTTCTCCTTTCTTCACCTCAGGAAACGTCAAGAATCTGGGTGAAAAAGGCAGAAATAATGCTTGCTCCCAGCTGCCGAGATAAGCATAAATCATGGGCTGGTGGTAATGTCACAGAGCAGCTGAGGGCTGTGAGCTCGGCAGCGCGGAATGCAGCTGTGTCACCTCGTGTGCCCCAGCCAGAGGCCACCACACACCATCCCCACTCGGGGCTCACATCCCTTCTGCCTGCAGTGTGGGGCAGTGGGGCGGTTGGTCCCATCGGCCCCATTACCTGGAGCCCACCTCCACCTCCAGGCTGGGGGTGACCGCCGGGCTCTGCCCCTCATTGGCCTCTCCAGGTTTGGTCCGTCCTCTTACTGATGGAAAAAGCTCCGATGGAGCCCAGCCGTGGGACCTTCCGTCGGTTCTTCTCCACGAGCTCTTGTCGTCACGCAGCTCCGCATCAGCGCCGCTGGATCGGAGCCATCCGCGCCCGGCACCGTCCCAGGAATGATGCAAACCCCGAGCGCGGTTACTTCAGTGAGAACCGGACCGGGGCAGCGACGTGCGGCAAAGCCGGGCTGCGGTGTCATCAGCCGGAGCTCCATTTGGGGAGTGCCGCTCTTTAATCGCGGCTCCGATCCGCTCCGCCCGCTCGTGTTGGCACCCGTCGCGCTTCTCGCTGCCTTCCAGGCGCTGCGGACGGGGGGGACAAGGAGGGGACGGGGAGGGGAGGCAGGCGAGGCGTGTTGGTGACACACACGTCCCCATCCCCGCTCAGCTCCACGTGCCGCCCACGAGACCTCCGCCCATCGCCGCCGCCCCTCGGTCCGCTCAGCATCTCCCACCCGGAGGCACCGCGACGCATCCACCCGAAGCGGCCGCCGTTCCCCGTTCCATCGCCTCGCAGAGCCCGCAGTTTCATCCATGGGACCGGAGCGGGGGGGGTTGGGGTGGGGGGGAGGGCGGGCAAAGTCCCGCTTATATAAACCCGGGGCTGCTCCGCTCCATTCATTCTCCTCGCGGCATCGATAAGAGCCGCACGCGGGGCCTTTGCGCAAGAGGTTTTGCAACACCCCCCCGCGTCCCCCCCCTCCTCCGCCGTCTGCGCGATGCTGCGGGACGTGGGGGCCGTCACCGTCACCTGCCTGCAGCTCCTGCTGCTGGCGGGCGGCGCGCAGCCACGGCCCCGCGAGTGGGACGAGGACGGGCAGCAGCTGGAAGCCATCAAACACGGCATCCTGCGGCGCTTGGGCATGGCCGGGCCCCCCCCCGTGCCGCACGCTCCGGACCCGGAGAGCATCAGCCGAGCGCGGCGGCTGTACGAGCGGCGCGTGGCCGAACTGCGAGGGAACCGCAGCCGGGAACGGGAGGAGCGCGACGGAGCGGCGGCCGCGACGCGTTGGCACCGCCTGACCGCCATCCGTAAGTGGACGCTGCGCTCCTGTCGTGTCCCCGGACCGCGGCCCCCAGCTGTGCCCCCCAACTGCATCCTGCGTGTCTTTAAACTGCGTCCCCAAACTTCATCCCGCTGTGTCCCCAAACCGTATCCCGCTGTGTCCCACCGCGTCCCCGAACTGCATCCCCAGCCTCCATCCTCCCACATCCCCAGCCTCCATCCTGCTCTGTCCCCACACTGTGTCCCCAAACTGCCCCCCTACTCGTCCCCCAGCCGTGTCCCACCATACCCCAAACCGCATCCCACCGGGTCCCCAGACGGTGTCCCCGGAACATGTCCCACCATGTTCCCAAGCCACTTCCCGCTGCATCTCCAAACCGTGTCCCAACCCACCCCTGCCCCGACACGTGCTGGGACATGACCGGACATGAATCCACCGCTCTCACCTTCCTCCTCTCCTCTTCCTCTTCTCTCCTGTTTCTCCTCCTCTCCCCCTCTTCTCCTCTCCTCCTCCCGCCGCTCCCAACGTTGCCTTCAGAGGAGGAATTGCAGTTTTCCATTTAAAAGCACGGATCGCTGATAAGGGCACAGCGGCGGGGATGTGGGGAACCGTCCGGACTGCGGGCTGGGGGGCACCCTTGCGCGGGATGGGGTTGGACCCCCGGTGCCTTCATCCCGCGGGAGGCGGGCAGTGCCCCGCGGTGGTGGGGGGTGGGCAGGGAGGACATCGCACGGCGCACTGTGGGGTTTGTGACACCGGCCGTCCTCTCATCCCACAGTGCAGCGCCTGCCGGACCCCCCCCGGGGAGAGCGGGACCCCCACGGGGGGCAGGAACCACTCAGAGGACAGCGGGACCCCAACGGAGAGCCGGACCCCGATGCTGACCAGCACTCCCACGGGCAGCGAGACCCCGAAGATCACCGGGACCCCGACGGGCTCCAGGACCCCCCCGGGCCGTACCGTTACCTCCTGCTGGTGCCGCGCACTGGAGCTCTCCGCCAGCGGCTGCAGGTGCTGCGGGCACAGCTGCTGCTCCCCCTGCGCTCAGCACAGCTCCGGGTCAACATTTACACCCCCGAGGGGTCCGGGGGGGCCCCGCGGCTGTTGCACAGCCGGGATTTGGATCCTCAGTCCCACCACCTGGACCTGACATCACCCCTCCGGCGCTGGGCCGCCGGGCACAGCGCTGCGCTGCGCTTGGAGTTGACCTTCAGCTCCAACGTGTCGGCTCCGTGGGACGGCTCCGGAACCGGGAACGCGGTTCTGGAAGTGGAAATGAGGGACAATGAGGGGCGGGGGGCGAGGAGGAGGCGGGGGCTGGAGGAGGAGTGCGGGAAGAGCGAGGGGAAATGCTGCCGGCGGGTGCTGAAGGTGTCCTTCCAGGAGATCGGGTGGGACGACTGGGTGCTGGCACCGCGCAGCTACGACATGCGCTTCTGCCAGGGCTCCTGCCCGCACAACTACCGCGCTGCCAGCATGCACGCACAGATCCAGGCCCGTGTGCACGCCCTGAGCCGTGCTGCCCCGGCGCCGTGCTGCGTGCCTGCTGCCTACGACCCCATGGTGCTGATGCACTACGATGCAGAGGGCAGGTTGGTCAGCTCTGTCTTTGAGGATATGTTGGTCACCCGCTGTCACTGCGCCTGAGGGCACTGCTGGGTGGAGGGGTCTGTCACCTCCATCCATGGGGACCTGTCACCTTTGGGTACAGGGATCCATCACCTCCATCAATAGGGACTTGTCACCTTTGGGTACAGGGATCCATCACCTCCATCCATGGGGACCTGTCACCTTTGGGTACAGGGATCCATCACCTCTCACCTCCATCTATAGGGACCTGTCACCTTTGAGTACAGAGATCCGTCACCTCTGGGTATAGGGAGCAGCACTGCTGGGTGGAGGGATCTGTCAGATGTGCATATAGGGTTCCATCACCCCCACCATGGGGTTCCATTATGTCTGGATGTAGGAATCCATCACCTCTGGGTATAGGGATCCATCACCTCCAGACACAGGAATCCACCTTCATATACAGGAATCCATCATCTTTGCAAATAGGGATTGGCACCTCTGCTTAAGGGGTCCATCACCTCTGGATATAGGAACTCATCATCTCTGTCTATATGGACCCACCACCTCCACCCATGGGGACCCATCACCTCCTGATGCTGATGTCTGACCCCCCTGCTGTAGGGCCCCCTCCCCATCCCAGTGGCACTGATCCCAGGGATGCAGACCCCACTGCCATCACTCCATGCCATAACTTATTCCCCTCTCCCCTTATTTAAAGCACTGGTTCAGCAGGAGGAGCCCACCCCGCTGCCACACCGGCTCCTCTCCGCATGAACCTTTTTTATACAGTCCTTTATTTATTGCTCATTATTTATTGCATTCTACGGCTTTGTTGGGATTTTTTTTTTTTTTTTTTGTATATTTATATATTTCTATAAATCAAATCGCGATGTAAATGAATAAAGTGATGGGAACACAGTGCCAGCAGCTCTGCTCCATGCAGCCACGTCCCCCCCAGCTCCCCCCCCCCAGTCTTGTCACCCATGGGTGAGTCATATGTGGGCAGTGCTCCAGCAGCACTTTGCCCTGACTGTGGCCTTGGGGCGGGCGCTGGGAAGCCCTGACCACATCGGGGATGTGGCACTCATTTACCTGTACCCACAGCCAGGGGATGGGGGGACAAGGGGACACAGGGATGGGGGCAGGGGGATGGGGACATGAGGACATGAGATATGGGGATGGGGGACATGGGTACAGGGGGACATGAGACATAGGATAGGGGAACATGGGGACACGATACATAGGGATATGGGACATGGAGGATATGGGGACATGAGATGTGAGGATGTGATATATGAGAATATGGGACATGGGATGGGGATGGGGACATGAGATACACAGGGACATGGGGATGTGGGACATGAGACACGGAGATATGGGGACATGGGGACTTGGAGGTGGTGGCCATGGGGAAGTGGGACATGTGGGAACGTGGGGACATTGAGATACGGAACGTGGGGACATGGGGATGTGGGACAGGATGAGCTCCACCTGGGGTTATGGGGACCACAACTCAATGGATGTGGGACATGGGGTCACCATGATGGGGACGTGGGCTTATGGGGCCGGGAAATAGGAACCTGCCAGTGTGGGACCCATATTGCTGGCACCTCTGCTCTGGGGGCAGGACCCCCCAGTTCCCCACACAGCCCCTCCGGGGGTTCTGACAGACCACGAGTCCTACGGGTCACTGAGGACAGCCCAGCATTTCATGTCACCATAGAGAATCACAAGGACCCGTGCAAGGCTGGGACACGGGGTGCCCCCATGTCACCACCCACACATCCCATAGCCGTCACCTCGCAGCCGCGCACTGCCAGCAGCGTCCAAAACCGGCACTTTTATCCCAGACTGTCGGATTTCACAGAGGGCGGCGCCGGCAGCGTTTGGGGCCGTCAGACCCGGTGTCACGCGGAGCTCCGGAGCGACGTGCAGGGACCGCCGCGTCCCACCGCCCCGTCCCCATTTCGCAGTGCAAAACCCCACGGAGAAGCGGCCGCTTCCGCCCTCAGCCCCGCGCAGGAAACGGCCGCGCAGCCGTTTTGCTCTCGTTGCAAAAAGAAAAAAAAGAAAAAAAAAAAAAGAGGAAAATCCCCTCCGCCGTCCCAGCGCTGCAGAATCCCCCGGGCGCTGCCCTCATGGGTCGGGGCTGACATAGATGTCCTCTCTATGAGTCCCGGTGTTGGCGTAGATCGGCTGCTCCCCTGCGTCGCTCTCCAGGAAATAGAGATCGTCCGGCGGTGCCTGGGGGCTGTGGGGGTTGTCAGTGGGGCAGCGCCCCGTGGAGATGTGCAGGAATGGATCCCCGGGTGGATCAACGGGGAGGAAAGGGCCCCACGGGTGTCTGATCCCTGGGTTTGGTGGGATGGGGTGGGATGGGATGGGTTGGGTTGAAATGGGATGGGGATGGCAATGGAGTGGGATGGGGATGGGATTGAGAGGGATGGGATGAGGGTGCAATAGATTGGGTTGAGATGGAGTAGGTTGGGATGGGTGGGTTGAGGTGAGATGGGATGGGGATGGACTGTGGATGGGATGGAGATGAGGATGAGTTGGAGTAGGGTGGGATGAATGGCTGATGTGGGATGGGACAGGATGAAGTGGGATGGGATGGGATGGGATGGGATGGGATGGGATGGGACGGGATGAGATGAGATGAGGTGGGACAGGACACCGCCACGGCTCAATGCAGCCCATCAGGAGGGTCCCACGTATCCCGCAGCCCCCCCTCTCCGCAGACTCACCTGTACCCCTCATGCTGCCACCCATGCTCCTCATCCTGCGTCGGGGCTGTGCCGGGGGCCACGTAGGAGCCGACGAAGACGTTCTCATAGTCGGGTGCCAGGCAAACCCCCACGGCAGCAGGGCTGCTCTCTGCCTCGCGGCTGACGTAGCGGGGCTGCCCATGGGCTGCAGGGGGCTCCCGCTTCCCCCATCCCGCAGCGCCCGCCGTCCTCCGGCACCGCCACACCACCACCCCCAGCACCACCCCCAGCACCACGAGCCCCCCCACGACCCCCCCCACCACCCCGACCGTTGCCACGCTGCCACCCGCATCCACCGTCCCCACGCCGCCCCGACATTCCCGTGCGAAGAAATCGGAGGCGTTGACCGAGCCGCGGGATGCAGCACAGAGGCAATCAGCGCCGGTGCACGAGTCCAGCACTTGGCTCATCGCATCGCAGCGGCACGGCAGCAGCGAGGGCTGCGAGGTGGTGGCCCCGATGCCGTGGGGAAGCAGCAGCAGGAGCAGCAGCGTTGCTGTGGGGCGCCCCATGGCTCCGCCTGGGAGGGAAGAGGGGGTCAGAGGAACAGAGCCCACACCGCCTGCCTTGGTGGCGGGGGTCCTCACGGGTGCGTTTGCCCCCCACCCAACCCCAGCACCCCGACTCGCCTGCAGCCGGCCGTCTGTGCTCAGAAAGAGGAACGGGCGGTCCCTATGGGTCCGTGTCACTGCGTGGGGCGTAGCCGGGCCTGGGGGGGTCACTGCAACTGCTCATCCACTCGGGAAAGTTCCTTCCACCTGGGATGTGCGGGCACTGCGATGCCCCTACGCCAGGGTTCAGGCGCTGTATGGGGGGTGGGGGCAGGAGGGCGTGTGGGGTGGGCACGGTGGGCACGGTGAATGGGGTGGGCACGGCGCCGGGGTGGTGCCAGCCCCAGGGCTTGGGGCGGGGGTTGGGGGTCCCAGGTGGGCGCCCACCACCATTTCACAGCCTCCCGTGCCTCCATGGTGGAGCGCGGGGGGACGAGGACCTTTTGTCTGGGTGAGATGTCACAGCGTGGGCCGGGCCGTGCGACACAGCGACACCGAGCGCGCGGGGTCTGCAATGAGGGCTGCAATGGGGTCCTCAGCTCACGTCCCACCGGGATCCCCCCCAACACCCCCGCGGTCCCGGGTTGGGATCAGAGGTGGGATTCGGCCACGGTGACAGAAAGGACACAGCGGAGCTCATCGCAGCGCCGCCGGGCTGCGGGCGGCCCCGCAGAGCCCCACCGCCACGCGCGTCCGCGGGGGTCGCGGCTCAGCGCTCGGGCACGGCTGACCCCTGCAGGCCGGCGGGGGAAGCGCCGCGCACGCAGCCGCCCGAACGCACGGCCTCGTGCACACGCACACCCCCCCCCCCGCGCCCACCACAACCACGCGTGTCCCGCTCGCGGCTGTTCCGATCTCCCCGCCGTGCCGCGTCCTTCCCTGCCCTCCCCCCCTTCCCTCCCCGTCCGCCCTTCTCCAGCCGTCTCCCACTGTCCGTCCCTTCGTGGCCGTGCCCCCCGCGTGTCTTCCCTTCCTCGTGTCCGTCACCACGCACATCCACCCTCCCATGTCACCCTGTGTCCGCCCCCTCGTGTCCGTGTCCTTCTGTGCTCCCATGCCCCCCCCACCCCTCTGGGTCCGCCCCCTCGTGTCCTACGGCACCCCTTGGCGCCCATCTCCCTCCCTCCCACCCCTCCGTGTCTGTTTCTTCACCCACGCGTGTACGCGACCGAACGCTTCTCCACCCTCCGCGCCCACCACCCCTTGTGGACCCCCCTCCCCCTTAACCCTCCGCCATCGCCCTTTTAAGAGCGGCCGCGCGGGCGGAGGAGGAGCAGCGCCGGGACGGCCGGGTGGGGGGGGCGGCGTTGCTGGAACAGCCGCGCGCGCGGGGGGAGGGAGCGGCGGCGGCGGCGTTGCGGGGACCCCCGGCCCCGCGCGGCGGTTTCAAGGTCCCCCGGGCCGGGCCGGGCCGAGGCGCAGCGCGGGGCCGGGATGGCGGCGGGGCGCCGCCGGTGACAGCGGGGCCGTGCAGGATGTACGGCAAGGGCAAGGGCTGCGGCGTGCCGTCCGACGGGCAGGCCCGCGAGAAGTGAGTGCCCGGGGCGGGGGGCGGGGGGGGGGGGGGGGGGGGGGGGGGGGGGGGGGGGGGGGGGGAACGGACGGACGGACGGACGGACGGACGGAGCGACGCGCGGAAGTTTTCGCGGGGGTTTCCGCCGCGGGAATCGGGGCCGGCGGCGGCGCCTTGGGGCCGGGAGAACTGCGCTCCGCTCCGCGCGGCTGCGGGGCTGCGCGACCCCCGACGGCTCCGGGAGCGGCGAACGAACCGCGGCCCCGCGGGGATCCCCGGAGCCGCCGAGCGCCGCGTCCCTCCGGTGTCCCCGCGCGGATCCCGTGGGTGTCCCCGCGTCGTCGGGGTCGCGGTGTCGCGCGGGTGGGGACGCCGGCGGCGGGGTTCCGCCCCGTACCGCCGTGTCACCCGCGGGCGAACCGCTCCCGGCGCGCCGTCAGCCGGCCGTGGCCGCGGGGCCGGCGGCGCTGCCCGGGCCGAGCCGCACACGTGGCCGCGTCCGCCGGCAGCGCCGTTCCCGTCGCGGTGTCCCCGCACCGCCCCGCTGCCGTCCCGGTGTCACCGCGCCGCCCCGTCCCGCCCTGCAGGTTGGCGCTGTACGTCTATGAGTACCTCCTGCACGTGGGAGCGCAGAAATCCGCGCAGACGTTCCTGTCCGAGGTGAGAGCCCTGTTTGGAGGGGGGGTCGCACGCTGTGCGTCGCACCGGCCCTGTGCGCGTGTGTCCCCCCTTGCCCCCCCCCCCATTCCCCCCCCCTGCGGTGCCGCACGGCTCCGACCGGCCCCACGCGTCCCTCTGCGCCCCGCAGATCCGATGGGAGAAGAACATCACGCTGGGGGAACCGCCGGGCTTCCTGCACTCCTGGTGGTGGTGAGTGGGGATGTGGGGGGGGGGTTCCCCCCGAAGTGCCCCCCCAAAGTGCCCCCCCAGGCTCCCTGCAACCGCTGCTCTCCTTTTCCTGTCACCCCCCCAAACCCGGCCCCGCTGCTCAGCCCCACAGCTGGATCCAATTTCGCCATCCCCAAAGAGCACAAAGCCCCGCTCTGGGGGGGGGGGGTCCCGCACACTGTGTCCACCCCCCCACACACACTTTGGGTGGGTGCCCAGGAGCCGCCCCACAGCTGCTTCCCCTAACCCGCTGCTGGGGGGACTCAGCCCCATCGCCCCCTGTGGCCCCACAGCAGCCCAACACCGCTGTGCCCCATTCTGCCCCCCATCCCCATCACCTCGACCCGGGGGGGCTGACATTGGAGCCACCCCACCCCACCCCATCCCACCCTGGGATGCGCCTCCTGATGTCAGGGCCCAGGAATTTGGGCTGCAGTGCATAGCGACCGTCTCCAGGCAAACACTGCAGCTGGGGGGGGGGGCAGGACCACCCCCACCCCATCCACCCCACAGCAGTGCTATGAGCACAGCCCTGTGCCCCCCCAGCCCCACACCCACTCCTCATCAGTGCCTCAACTGCGGTCGGGCTCAGCCCACCCCCCCCCATAGCCCTGGGATGGGGGCTGACAGCACGGTGGGGGGACGTGGGGACACCGGGGGGGGCCCTGACGCTTTGTGCCCCCCCCCTGCAGCGTCTTCTGGGACCTCTACTGTGCAGCCCCCGACCGCCGTGAGACGTGCGAGCACTCGAGCGAGGCCAAAGCCTTCCATGACTACGTGAGTATGGGGGGGCAGACCCCGTGCCGCCCCCCCCCCACACCCCCCCCACACCACATCGGTGCCCTGAGGACGCGGAGACACGGGGACACGGCATGCTGGGGGTTAAGCACAGTGCCAGCCCCCACCTCCCTGCACAGCGCTGACCTATTTTGCACAGCACCGGGAGGGGTAATCCCAGGGGCCGGGCTGTGACCCCCCCGGGACCCCCCCCAGTGCCACCCTGTGCCCTGCGGGGTGCCCAGCGCCGGCTGGCATTGATGGGGAATGAGGACAGGGGGATGTGTGTGGCTGTGGGGGGGGATTTGGGAGCACTGAGATGCGTGGGGACAGCTGGAGAGTGTCCCCCCCCCGCACCAACCCACGAGCTGCCAGCAGACGTGCTCTGTGCCCAATGCTGGGCGGGCACGGTGACCTCAATGGGTCCCCAGTGTTTGTCATTCCCACGCCCCTCTCCTTTGCTCTGTGTTGGTGGGGGGGCAGGACCCCCCCCAGGACCGCATGGGGTGAGGTGGGGGGGTTCATGGTGCTGGGGGTGCCATGGGATGCGGGATGCTGTGGTACCCACAGGGATGGGATGCTGTGGGATGCAGAGCTGCGCTGTGGGGCTGTGGTACCCCAAATCCTGCACC